AAAGCTTGCGAGATCAGGATGGTCTCACGAGGCTAGTTTGTAGCCTTGCAAAATAAAATAGGTGTTTCATAATCTGATAACAGACCGCTTTGGACCAGCAGACTGAGACGTGATTCAATTACTTGTAAGGACGTAACCTCACAAACCTCATTAGATTAAATCTCATATTAGAGAACCAAAAATATATCTGATCAGGTATAAATGCAGAAAAGCAACGTTTAGTTTTGTTAGTTATCGTTTTTAAGAAGGGTCTAGACTAGCAGTAAGGTGTGACTCAGTGTCACATGGATCTTTTGGTGACTCTTCCAACTGTCTCAACATGAGGTTTGAAGAAGGACAAACAGCATACTTATTGAAAACTTATTGTATTTACTATTCTCAAGCCAATCTAGAACTTTTGTAAAAAGTTGCACATCCTTGCTTTAACAGCTGCATGTGTAGCTGCTCTCTAACTGCAGCCCAAACCCTAACCCATTCACCTGTCATTCTGCCTTCCCTGTGCAATGCGGTTGTGTGGAAATACCTTTCTTTTTTTCCCCACAGTGTCAGTTCTTTGTACGTCAGGAGGCATGGCAGACTGCAGTGCTCCAGCAGAAAGGGATCATGGGTGACGGCGAGAAGATGCAGCAGCATGTGGATGATGATGGTTTCCTGATCCAGGATCTGGTGACCAGGACCCAGAACAGAAAAGGCCAAAAACACTGGATCACTATTTGGACTGAAAATCACTGAGAGACTTCTGGTATCCATGGAAACTGATCCTGAATTATACCAAAAAAGAACTGAACCGGACCAAATCAGATTAACACTGCCAGTCCGCCGTCATGTGCTGCACCCGTTTACCCAGAGGTCATTCAGAGGTGGAGCTGTGAGCTCTTGAAGTTTTTCTATTGGTCAGACTTTTATTAATCTGTGGTTTTTTTTTTGGACATCATTGATTTCATACGGATTATTCAGATTTTGTTAGCTATTGTGAGACTGACTAACAAGAATTCCTATTAAATTTAAGGGCTACATTATAAACCAGTGGAATGCTAATTTAAATACCAAATATTACCACAGAATCAGCATTTCCTTCCATTCTGAGTTCATCATGTATCTGTATATTTTTCTTTTATGCTGCCTGGTCCAGTGCTGTTAGTGTTGTAGATATGGGTGTACAGTTTTATAATTTTGGACTCCCTTTGAAAGCAGCTCCTGTCAGTGCGTCAAAGCATTCACCGCAGTGTAAATGGATGTGCTGTCTGTATGTTGATGATATTAAGTATTTTGTATAGATGTGCTGAATGTGTGTTGATGTTAATAAACTATTTCATATGGATGTGCTGTATGCTGATGATATTAAAGTATTTCATTTGAGTTTTCTGTCTTTTTCTTGACTTTACCAAAGTATTTATTTTTATAATTCACTGGTTTATTAACTTATGAGGTCATGTCAGCCATCAGAGTCATCAGAAGTCCTTTTCACTGATGTCAATACGGTCTTCTTAGATCATCAGACAGCAGCAGATCATTTTAATCCTGGTGGTTGTGTTCAAATGGAATAACATCAGGAAATGCTGGAGGCCCAGTTATCATCTCTTTAAAATATTTGGAGTGTGGCATGGAATATTATCCTACTAGTGTTGTGTTGATTCAGAAGAAAAACAAACCGTTTTCTTGAGAACATATTTATAGGAATCTGGATCCAAGATTTCATGATGTTTTCACCTGATTCTCAAAGTCTGAATGTTCCAGCTTAAGGTAGATTTGTTGAACCAGGACAGGATTGCTGTCCTGGTTCAATGTCGGTGTAAGTTGAATCCTGAATTTCCTATTCTTAGTTATAGTTGTAGCACTTTGACAACCTCATTAGTTCCCTCAAGTGTGAATAGAACCAGTGGTGTCAAAAGTTCACACATTTGTTACTTAATTAGAAGTATAGATACTGCAGTTTAAAAACACTCTGGTAAAAGTTGAAGTATCAACTTGACCTCTTTACTCAAGTAAAACTGAAAAAGTATGTGCTCCAAAAACTACTTAAAGTATAAAAGTATAAAGTAACCTTTAAAAAAAACAACCAGATGCCGCTATATGAATTGAAAGCTGAAGTTTCCGACTATTTTGAAAAATTCTTGGAGATAGGGCCAAGGATGAGGGAGGTCTTGTTGGTCTCCGTCTCCATCTCCTGATATGCTCTCGCCTGTCAGACATTTCAGCATCTTTCAGCACCGACATTGTAGCAAGGCATTGGTAAATGGTATGTACTTACATAGCGCCTTTATTCAAGTGCTTTACACTACATTCGTTCACCCATTCACGCACACACACTGATGGTGGCAAGCTACATTGTAGCCACAGCTGCCCTGGGGCTCACTGACAGAAGCAGGGCTGCTGTACACTGGCGCCACCGGGCCCTCGAAGTGTCTTGCCCAAGGACACAATGACACTGAAAGTCAGAGTCGGGGCTTGAACCGTCAATCCTTGGATTTCAGGGCAAACTCCGACACCCAACGCCACTGTCGCCCCATGGTTTGAAGAACACATGCTTGCTTCTGATGATTTCCTTTACCTAACCAATGAGTGTTTGCCTTCTATGACTCATCCAATCACACTAGTTTTCACTAGATGTGGATGGAGCCAATGATCTGCATTGGATGGAGCACATGACGGGAAATAATTATTTATAAACATTAAACAGAAGCCAAGAGTAACGAGTAACATTTGTTTTGAAAATCTAAGGAATAGAAAGTACAGATACTTGTAATGAGTAGAAGTCAGAAGAAGGAAGAAAAATAAGTAATGGAGTAAAGTAGAGATAGCTAAAAAGTGTACTTAAGTACAGTAACAAAGTATTTCTACTTTGTTACTTGACACCTCTCTTTATAGAACCCACTAAAACCAGTTGGCTCTGGATCAGCCTTGTCTAATCATCTCAACGTATACTTCTGTACATAAAACTGTTTTTTTTTTCAGTTGCTGCTTCCCTTTTGTGATGCTTCCTCCGCTTTACTTCAGCTCTAATGATGAGAAGCAGATCTACAATCAGATCAACTCATGATGTTTCATGCTGATATCTCATGTTTTAAAGAGAAGATGAAACATTGCTGCTCATTGTTGGGTAAGATCCTGTAAGGAGAGATGTTGTGTGAGTGAAAAGGTATGTTTTTAAGCTCTCACTGATGATGCAGATCAAATAACTTCTCTAAACCAGAAGTTGTTTAGCAATGCTGACTGCAGCCGATCTTTAACAGAACCTTAAATGGTCAAGTTTGTGTGCACAAAGAAGAAATACAACTTAGGTTTACTGTCACTAACATCATAATTCAATTCAATTCAGTTTATTTATA